GATGCATTTTTTTGTGTGTGGGTAGTTGACATTTTATTGATTGGTTAGAAAACATAAATTTGTCCAAAGGCACACTGAAATTTGGTGGCAGAAGTAGAATGCACATTTCAAGTGCCCATCTCCTATTTAGTTTCTAGTAATTTAAAAATGATAATGAAGTGAGTTACTATTTAAATTCTGGCAAGGACACTGTTCATTAAATTCATGTCTCAAAATTTTAGATTATTTCAATCTGTATATGTCAAAACCTTTAGGTGATTTCTTTTTTCTTTCTGGGTCAACATATTGTGGCGAGAATATAAGTTTCTTTATGATAAATTCAGGACCAATCTTATTTTCTTCCAACTTTAGAATATAAACTTTAGGTCAGAAAAATATTTAGAGCACAAAAGAGAAATCACTGAGAGCTGCTGGACATTAAAGTGTTGTCCTAGTACCTCACTTTAATCAAATTCTTTGCACATTTCCTACTCAACCCTGTTCTACATAGAGTTGAGCTCATTTCTTTGTAACTAAATAAAATGAAAATCAACCTCTTTTTAAAAAGATAGTTTTGCCCTGGCTGGTGTGGCTCAGTGGATTGAGTACCAACTGGCTTGTGAATCAAAGGATCACTGGTTCAATTCCCAGCCAGGGCACAAGCCTGGGTTGCGGGTTTAGGTCCCCAGTGGGGGGCACATGAGAGGCAACCACACACTGATGTTTCCCTTCTCTTTCTCCCTCCCTTCCCCTCTCTCTCAAAATATAAGTAAATAAAAAAATCTTTAAAAAATAAAAATAAACCAAGAGATGGTATTGACCTAATGAGAAAAATGTAAATAACAATTTTGACAAAAAATATTTTATGATCTGAAGTCATCATTGGTGGGTAAAAAATGTACAAATGCATAAATATATAAAGAAAACAAAATATAGGTACATTTTTCATACTCATTGTGAAATTGTAGCCACTTAATTGACCTTCATTACGTTGGTAACAGGGACATGCCTGCCATCTTTAGAAAGCTTAAACAAACTGTATTCATTATAAAGTCATTATTAAGATTGACTTAATTGGGTTGTCTCAGTAGCAGAAAACAGGTTTGTTCAAGCCTTTTGAACACACATTATAAACTATTTAATGTGCATGTTGCTATACTCTTCCATTCCTCAAACTTCATGTAGTATATGTAGTCTTTAAAGTTAAGTTGTGTAAAAGGTCTATTCATGAAGATTTCATTGTAGAAGAGTTATTCATTCCAGATATCACTTCAGATTGAATGTTTTGCAATTACCAGGCATGACTTGTACTTCTTTCCATGACAACCTCTCTTCTTCCCATACTGGACTTTTATGTCAAATTAATGTAAAGATTACATTTTAAGCATTTATTATGATCCAGGCAACCTTATGAAATTATTATATTATTATTTGCCAATTTGCAGATGGAGTACAGAAAAGTTAAATAACTTGCCTATCATCACACAACTAATAAGTGGCAGAGTCCACTTATTAGCAGATACAGTTCCAAATCCTACATTCTGATTCCACAGAACTTTGTGTCTCAAGCCTTGTATTGATATTTCCTTACAATTATACATAAGCAATCATAAGTGTTTTTATAGGAAGAATAAATGTAAGGTTCGTGGCTTTACCTACCCAGATTTTAGGGCTATATATTTTTCTCATAGAAAACAAATAAACAAAAACCTTTTATCTATGTAAGCTTCAACAAAACATTTTTATATTCTTTATTTTTTAAATTTTTATTGTATTTTTTCTAATACCATTTAGTATCTTTATACTCCCCCTGCCCTGCAATCACCACACTGTTGCTCATGTCCGTGAGTTCATTTGCTTTTTTGTTCAACCCCTCCACCCACTCACCCCACACCCTTTAGCTGTCAGCCTGCTCTCTATGAGCCTGTCACTATTTTGCTTGTTAGTTCAGTTTGTTCATTAGATTCCACTTATGTGTGAAGTCATATTGTATTTGTCTTTCTGTGACTGACTTACACTTAGCACTTAGCAGGATGTTCTCCAGGTCCATCCATACTGTTGTAAAAGCTAAAATTTTCCTTTTTTTTGCAGCCAAGTAGTATTCCATTGTGTAAATGCCCCATAGTTGTTTTATACACTCATCTACTGGTGGACACTTAGGCGACTTCCATATCTTGGTGATTGTAAATAATTCTGCAATGAACATAGGGATGTTTATGTTCTTAAGAATTAGTGTTTTGGATTCCTTTGGATATATTCCCAGAAAGGGATCACTGGGTCAAAAGGCAGGTCCATTTTTAATTTTTTGAGGTATCTCCATACTGCCTCCCACAGTGGCTGCACCAACTTGCATTCCCACCAACAGTGCAAAAGGGTTACCCTTTCTCCACATCCTCACCAGCACTTGTTGTTTGTTGATTTATTGATGATAGCCATTCTGAAAGGTGCGAGATGGTATCTCATTGTGGTTTTAATTTGCATTTCTCTAATGATTAGTGATGTTGAGCATACTTTCATATGTCTAATGGCCATGTGCATACCCTATTTGGAGAAGTGTCTATTCAGGTCCTTTGCCTATTTTTTAATTGGGTTGTTTGCTTTTTTGGTGTTGAGTTTTGTAAGTTCTTTATCAATTTTGGATATTAACCCCTTATCAGATGTATCAGCAAACATGTTCTCCCATTCTGTGGGTTGTCTTTTACTTTACTGATGTTTTCCTTTGCTGTGCAAAAACTTGTAGTTTGACATAATCCACTTGTTTCTTTTTGTCTTTTGTTTCCCTTGCCTGGGGAGATATCCAAAAAACATTGCTACAGCAATGTATGAGATTTTGTTGCCTGTGTTTTCTTTTAAGATTTTTATGATTTTTGGGTCTTACATTTAAGTCTTTAATCCATTTTGAATTTATTCTTGTGTGAGGTGTGAGAAGGTGGTCCAGGGCCGTATTTTACGTCTGATGTGTCTATGGTATACTCGGAAATTTAGGGGGCTATAATAGAAGGTTTCTCTGAAGACTCTCTCTAGGGAAGATGCAGTTGTTGCAAATATACCTAAAATTCAAAACTATGAAGAAATATTGCCCTTTATACATTTTCAGTTGCAAAACTAAGATAAATTAGTAAGAGATGCCTTTGATTCATTGCTGTCAATTCAAAGACATGGCATTTTAGCTAAAGCTGTCTCCTATAGAAAGGTTCCTATTTAGAAACTTCTCAGAGTTGATCATAGTTGTTTCTTTTTCTTGTTATTTTTCTCCTTTTGCATCTTTAATTTAAATTAAAAGTAATAAAGGCCAGAACATAAATATTACATTATCCTCAAAAATTTTTTTCCCTGGGATGAAGTTAAAATTAATAAATGTAAGATTACTGACTACTGTTAAATTGACTGTTCCTTAAAGACCAGGCATAATTCCTGTCCATGTGGGATTTTCAGAGCATTTCCAATGCATTCAGAAGATCATCTAATCCCAGAAAGTATACTTCCTGCATTTAAGAGACTGGAGTTTTCTATTTGGCTTTAGAAAATAACTAAACTTTTGTTTGTTTGTTTTCTATCGGGCACCAACCTTTTTGGCTTATCCTGTTGGCATTACCCCAACAGAGAACTTCCTGGAAAGCAGATCATTTTGTTGTGATCCGGAAATGCTTTTGTCTGGCTTCTAGGTCATGTTTTAAACTCCCATTCATTAGACTCATAAGAGACTCTTTTTTTAATGATGCAAAGTACACAAGTTCCAAGTAGGACAATTTTACATAAAAGTCCAGTGAAATTGATATTTGGCCAGAACTCAGAATAGCTGGGAAAAATATCAAGAAAAACAACTTTTATCAAAAGGCAAATTAGTTTTTGAAGCTGGTGTTAATTATCAGCCAAGGTGTTTCATTATGAAGCTGAATTTTTAACAGTTGTTACTTGGTTACTATGAAAACACCAACCAGAAGAAAACACTGCAGTGTAGCGTCCATTTCTCCAATCTCTCCCAGTCCCTCTACCAACTTGTCAATAATGTGAATCCTGTTTTAAAACCCTATGTGCTGCCTAGAAATTGCTTGTGTTGGCTGGTTATTCAACTTTATTTCTGGATAAGATGGGTATTTCATAAACAAAGGGCGCAGGGATGTATGATTCCATTCAAACTTCAGATGCTGTATTTTTCTATTTTGCAATTCTCTGTGTCTGAATGAAACTTTAAGAAGGTCTTCTTTGGAGAACTGTTTTTCCTTTGTAACCTAGCACATAAAGCTAACCACAGGAAATATAACTACAGAGATGATTCTTTTGGATGAAGCAATGTGAAATGTGGTGCTTTATCTCTATGTGTGAGTGTACCTACTGCTGATTTTTTTAAGGAAAAACACCTGAGGGCCATAAGTAGCAAGTTCCAACTGTTTATTCCCCTCCACAACAGTAAACAGTGTGAAGGTTTCTCTCCACACATAACATATCCAAAGCTCCTGGGAGTATGTATGCTTTGATATTTTCCCCATTCTGACATTTTACTAGCTGGCTAAGAGAAAAAAAAATGGTTTGCTGAGTGAGGCCTCAACCTACAGGCAACAAATTCCTGTGTTGTCCTATCTATAGGCATCCTTTTAATTTTTGTTGTGTTCAGCATCTAGTTTGATGGTGATGTATAGAAAAAAATTATTTTCTGTGGATGATGTGATAGAAGTATTGGTTTAAATTACTTGCCAACAGTTCACCAGCCAAATAATTTAAAGCTCTGATTATAGTCTTAATGAAAAGCCTTTGCTGTTGATTCTAAGAAACAAGCATGGCTATATTTTTTGTCCTTCAAAACAAAAGCAGGTTTTCCTCTTGCCTTGCAAAGCCTCAGCTCGGGTTTTACAGAACAAAATAATGAATGCTTCTGCTGCGGCATGTCACCGGGGAGGCTGGGACAATACTGAGCTCATGCACACTGCTGATCCTTGCTTGCTCGGCAACATGTACTCTTGGATGTCTGACAGCCTGGTGGGTTCACTGGAGACCTCTGTCATTCTGTTCGTCCTCTCTAGGCAATGGTCGAGACAGTTAACAACCTCCTTCAGCCACAAGCCTTGAATGCGTGGAGGGACCTGACTACAAGTGATCAACTCCGGGCAGCCACCATGTTGCTGGACACTGTGGAGGAGAGTGCTTTTGTGCTGGCCGATAACCTTTTGAAGACCGACATTGTCAGGGAGAACACTGACAATATTCGTAAGTGGCCTTCGCTATACAGAAGAGCCAAAGACCTTTGTATAGTGGGAGAGGGAAAAGGAAGAAGTGTCTATGGTGGCCTAGATATTATGAATGATATTCTATTCTTTTGCTGTAATTAAGAGAATATCACCTGTCATTGGTTTAAAAAAGTCCTCATAATCATCTATGTTATCCTCCTTAGGACATTCCAATATTGGATATATTAGCCTGAGATCACTTACAGTGATGTCTATTTAATTTTATTTTAGTATTTAATGTATATCTGTTTATATTCATAAGTCCCATAATACAGGGCTTATGATTCACTTCAGTTATTATAGGAGTGCCTCTCAATTACATACTGTAAAGCAATCAGTCATTTAAGTTAGGCACTAAAACAATTTTTGATAATTGTGTTATTGGCTCATAAAGAGTATAAATCTATTTTATTGTATATAAGGATGTAGTTGACAGCTTTATTTCAAAAGATTTGATAAAGCTGTTTCCAACTTATTAGATTTAACAATAGATCAATATTGATATAACATTGCGGCTCTAGATTATAAAAGTATTTTTATCTAATGCATAAAGATATTATTTTGAAAACAAACTTTAAGCCAATGACAAAGTATAAGGATATGAGTTTGAATTTTAAATTTCAACTCCTGACACATTTGAATTCTTATTTGCCTGATTTTCGTAGCTTATATTTGCTTTATTTTGAAAAAAAAACTTATGATTGTAAAAGAATACTTTATAAATAACAGATCGAACTACTGTTAAGAATAACAAATAGAACATTATTTCCAGTATTTTGATTTCAGAGCTATTCCAGTGATTTAGGAAATTACCTTAGCTTTGCAATTATTTCTCAATAAGCGCTGATATCCCTTTGCCGTTAACAGAGTTGGAAGTTGCAAGGCTGAGCACAGAAGGGAACTTAGAAGACTTAAAATTTCCGGAAACCATGGCTCATGGGAGCACTATCCAGCTTTCTGCAAATACTTTAAAGCAAAATGGCCGAAATGGTAGGTTAGAGTACAGCTTGTTAGAATTAAACTTGTCAATGCATTGCATAGCTCCTTGAATTGGAATTGTAAATGTGTTGTTCAAAATCTGATGTCCAAGTCCTCTGCTGTATGTCTCCTGTCGCGTCACTGTTCTCATTCTCCTGCTATTCCTCCTCTTTCTGTCTCCTGCACAAACAATATAGCAATAATATTTGTTTTATAGCATTTTCAGATTTGGAAATTGTTTCAGTTGCACTAAAATGTCACAAAGTGGAATATGAGAAAAATTAGAAAATTAGAAAATTCAGATGATCTTATTTTTTTCCCTTAAAAGGAGTAACTCTTACTCAAGTTGTCAGATTTGGTAACTCTTAGTTATAGTTTTAAAGTTACATGTTTTTTTCCCTTATTCAGTTATTTTTGTGAAATGGGTGTTTCTATGTTTTTCTTTCACAAATTATACACAAAATTTAATATGAAGAGATGCTCCTGTGGAATGTAAGTCTTAGGTCAGTTTAGGACAGGGTTTAATTCACTGAAGGCAATTGAAATTAAATAAATAATCCCATAGAGAAAGTATATCTCCAGCTTCATTAATATTAATTTGAAAAAGTCTATTTTTGCCAAGGAAGTAAGATCCTTTAACTTGTTGGTGATTGGAAGATGACCTCAAGTCACAACAACGAACTCAAAGCTGATGTTTCATATTGCAGGGTGAATAGTTTTTTGGTTTTTTTTTTAATAACCATTTAAATAATATCAAGAAAAATAAATTAGCTTGTTGTCACCAAGAAAATTACTTTGTAAGTGTTAGAAATCTTAGAAGACAAAAGTTATAAATCCTTATTTTGTTGCTAATTTGAAAATGTGAATTTTGAAGCAGCAATAAGATTTTATGTAGAACAAAATTAGATTCCTATATTAGCTTCCTAACTGGTTTCCCCCCTTTGACCCTTGCCTTCAGAAAGCATATCCTGTTGACAAATTTCTTCCTGAAACAGTAATCTTTCCAGTTTGTTTACAGTTATATTTAAAATGAAATCAAATAACTTAACTAGCCACATGTTGCCTGGGCCACTTCCTTCCTGCCTCATGTCCCCCACATCACACCTGTTATTAGCATTCGGTCTGTGATCCAAACAGTTTAGTCTCAGTCCTTTATTTTCATTGAGATATGATTGACATATAACATTATACTAATCTCAGGCAGACAATATAATACTCTATTCGTATATATTGCAAAATGAACAGCGTAATAAGTCTGGTCAACATTTATCACCAGATAATTACTATTTGTTTGTTTGTTTTTTTAATTTTTAAGATGTATTCTTCTAACTTTTAAAATATGCAAAACAGTATTACTAACCACAGTCACCATACTGTACTTTTGCTCATCTTCACCTATTTTTTTTCTATTTTTTTCCCACTCCCCACCTCTGGGAACCACCAGTCAGTTATATGAGTTGTTTTTTTCCCAAAGATTTTGCATATTGAGGTCTGTCTGGAAAAAGTCCAGCCATTGTTAATGTAATGAGAATGGTTTGTGCAACATTGATGTAACCTGGCAGCAGAGGAGAGCAGACTAGAATGCACATGTGTGAAAATGATGACTTCACTGTACTAGTCAGTGGGGATGGTAGATGCTGTTGAGTGAACATGTGTACTGTGTGGCCATCACATTCAAAATGACTAAACAAGTACAGCAGCAAATCTGCATCAAATCTTGTGTTAAGCTTGAACATTCCTCCATGGAAAATGTTCAGATGACTCAGAAGGCTTTTGGGACAGTGCAATGAGTGCAGCACAAATAAAAGTGTGAAATGAGTGCAGCACAAATAAAAGTGTGGCACAAATGCTTCAAAGATGGTCAAGGATCTGTTGAAAGTGATCCATATTCTGGAAGGCCTGCAACAAGCAGAACACCTGAGAGTGTTGAATGTGCATGGCTGCAGTCAACAAAGATAGGTGACTGCCAGTGTGAGAACTAGAAGCTGATCTGGGAACTACAAAAACTATTGTGTCTGAGATTTTGACACAGGATATTGGCATGAAAGATGTAGTGGCAAAATCATTCCTTGGTTTCTGCTTCCAGAGCAGAAAGAACATGGTGCAGCGGTTGCTAATGACACTGGGAGAACTGTGTGAGGTCCCAAGGTGCCTGCTTTGAAGGAGATTGAAGTGTCATTGTTCTACATACAATGTTTCTTGTCTCTTCTTCAATAAATGTCTCTATTTTCCATAGTACATGGATGGATACTTTCTGGACAGACCTCATAAGTGAGATCATGCAGTATTTGTTTCTCTGTCTGACTTATTTCACTTAGCTAATGCCCTCAAGATTCAGCCATGTTGTCACATATTTCCTTTTTTATGGTTGTATAATATTTCATTGTATTTGTATATACCACATTTTCTTTATCTCTTCAGCCATCTAAGAACACTTAGCTTATTTCCATGACTTGGCTCTTGTATAATAATGCTTCAGGGAACACAGAAGTCTGCTCCATAGATCGTTTCAAGTTAGTGTTTTTACTACAGATAAATACCCAGAAGTGATATTGCTGGATCATATGGTAGTTCTATTTTTAATTTTTGGAGGGACCCTTCATACTGCTTTCCTTAGTGGCTGCCAATTTACATGACCACGAGCGCTACACAAGGGTTCCCTACTCTTGTTTTGAACTTGTTCCTTGAACACACCAAGGGTGTTCCTGTATTAGCTTTTGTACTTTTTTTTTCCCTTCCTGGGATGCAATTTTTGCAATTTTTATATAGAAGCTACTTATTATTCACTACTCAGGATAACTGTTACCTTTTGGGGAAGGTTTTCCCTATCTCCCTAAAGATAGATACTTCTCTCATCACTATTATATGCCAGTTCTCCATAGCACTTATTCACTTGCCATTATATAAAATTATTGTTGTTGTTATTATTACCTACTTGCTGTCTGACTCTCTCTCTAGGTAGTAAGCTCCATGACAGCAGGGAACTTTTTTAATTCATTCACTGATAGTACACTTGTGCTTAGTATATGGATCCACTCACTAAAAATTTATCAAATAAGTATGTGAACTTTCAGAGACAAAACTAATGAAGATTAAAATATATGTCTATATTAATCATATCATGATTTGTGTTCATTTATATTATTTATCAAGTTAATGTGGTGTGTGTGTGTATGTGTGTGTGAGAGAGAGAGAAACATTAATTTTGGAGTAGATAATTTGTAAGTAATATATATATATGACTAAAGGCACCAGTAAAACAAGGTCAGATGGCAATGTTACTGGGGAGAGACCCAAATCAGGACCCCCTGCCCTGAGCTTGTTTCTAGGCTCTTATCTCTCTTGCAAAAGACAGATTCAAGCAAGAGACAACTCATATAGTGGAAACGAGATAGCAAGTTTATTTATGAAACACACACAGGCACGAAGTGGGAAGTGAGAACCTAGCTGGTCTAAATGCCCATGTATAGGGGAAATAAAGTTGTTAGCAAGTTTGTTAGTAAGTTTGTTCTATACATTTGAGCTGAGGCTGCAAGTGGGCACTCAGCTAATCTGAGTACACTGATTATTGGGGTTCAGGGGTTATATACCTTAGTTAGTTTCTAGGTTTCTCCCTCTTTCTCCCCCTTCTAAATCTTGGGAATAATATAGAGCTACAGAGGCTTTCTTTCTCAGTTAGTAAAGGCTCTTTGTCTTAGTTAGTGAAATCGTTACAGAGGCTCCCTCTCCCAGCAGAGTCTCAAAGACTCCCTTCCTCATGTGCTATCCTTGTTTGTGATGTTTGGAATACTTGGCAATCTTACTGGACCAGGCTCAGGACTGCTGAGTTAATTGGTGAGACATGACATCCTCATGTTTCCAGACTCCTGTTTTAAGTTCTTTGTTAGATTGCAATGGTGGGGGCCCTGTTTTATTTTTCCTTCTGGCCGCGCATTTCTGGCTGCCACCTACAGTAGCAGTAACATGACACCATCTTGCAAGCGGAAATTGGTATGAATATCAGCCAATTATAAATCAATGAAATAAAAGTTGTTATAGTCAATAAGAAAAATACATAGATGTTCTTATACTTAGCCTTCTAAAAATCAGCATTTTTATATTAAATCTAGAAGGAAGGAACTAAAATTCAATTCTGTGTTGTAAGAATCCAGAAAGTATTTGGTGAATTAACTATTGTTTGCTCTGTACTGTGTTAACAGTTGTGGATTGAAAGCTAAAGAAAGTCCCTTTCCTTTATGTAGCTCTTCATAATAGATATATCATAGGATAACTGAGAGGGCTGGAGAGCCAGGCCCCCAAAACATATAAAAACAAGAAGGCTGCTAGCAGCAGCTTATACCATTGCGCAGAATCATCGCTGTCATTGCTGCCACAAGTAAAGGCTGCTGTTGCTCTGCCTCCTTTGCCCGTATCACTAAATCGTCATCCAAAGTCCAAGGCTAGTGCATCTGATTGGATGTGTCTAGCTGAGGAGCCCAGAGCAACCCTTTGCATGGCAGGCTGGGAAGCAAATGTATGCCAACTTTGTGCCTATACATCCCTTAGAGGAAGGAATTTCCCAAATATGGGAGGGAGCACAGGTTAGATTTTGGGCAGTCTTCTAACTTCCTCAGAAAAAATATTAAAATCTATTTGTCATGCTAAGCGAAATAAGCCAGGGGGCGAAAGACAAATACCATATGATCTCACCTATAAGCGGAACCTAACCAACAATGCAAAGAAGCAAGGAAAATATGACCAGCAACACTGAAAGGAAAAGAAATCAACAGAGACAAGAGGGAAGGGGGGGGGCAGGGAAAGGGAAGGGAAGGGGAAAGTCAAGGAACATATAGCAAGGACTCATGGACAAAACCAAAGGGGAAGAGCTGAGGGAGGGAAGGTGGGAGGGGGCAAGGGAAAGAGTGGGGGGAAGGCAGAGACAAATGTATTTAAAAAGTAAATAAATTAATTTAAAAAAAAAATCTATTTGTCTGTATTCCCACTCGATTCTGAGATTCAAGGGACAAAAACTGTGACTTACTTATCTTAATAACCATAATAATCAGGGCAGTACTTTTCTCTTATCGGAGCAATACGAATTCGTAATGGAAGGCTTGCTTTCTTTTAAGAAAAGCAAGATGATTTTTAAAAATGTGTCAAAAGACAGTTACTTTTACAGAGGATTATCTGTAAGAGATTGTCATAAGGCAAAAAATTAGGTGGAAGTATGTATGGAGATAGTAGTGACCTTAAAAGAACATAATTGAGGTTTAAGACAGGTAAAAATTGGAATCCTTGTATTTATTTTTTATGTAATATAATGCACATACCTTAAGTATTTAGCTTGATGAATTTGACAGTTGTGCATATCCTCCATAATACTTTATAATATAAGCTATAAATCTCTTTCTTCTATTACCCAGAAAATTCCCTGGCCTCTTTCCGTTCTGCTCAGCTCCCTATGCCCACCTGAAGAAATTATTTTCTTCTTCTTACTATTTGTGTAGACAACTGTGGCCTGTTCTTAGGCTTTATATAACCAAAATCCTACAGTGTGGACCCTTTTCTGTCTGTATTGTCTAATTCAGTGTTTTTGGGATTCAATCATGATGCTCTATTTGTCAGTATGGTAGTTTTTTCTTTATTGATGAATATTATATTCCATTATACTAATATGCCATAATTTATTCTCCTATTGATTAGTTTTTTGTTGTTTCCAGTTTGGTGCTATTATGAATAAAGATGCTATAACCATTCTTACACCAGATTTTTTTTTCTTTGTGAATTTACATTTTCACTGATCTAAGAAAGGTAGATATATATTTGACTTCATAAGAAATTGCAAAACATTTTTCTATGTACTTGAACCATTTTATACTTCCCCCAGCAGTATACAAAAGTCCCGATTTTTCCACATCTTTATCAGCATTAGTGTGGACAATCTTTTTGATTTGAGAGATTCTAGTGGGTATGAAATGGTATTTCAATGTGATTTTAATTTTTACTTCTCTCATTACTAATGATGTTGATAACTTTTATATGTTTCTTAGCCTATCATCTATCCTTTTTTCTAAAGTGTGTGTTTATGTAGTTTGTCATTTTAGTGTGGTATTTATTCTTTTGCAATTGATTAGCAGAAATGATTTATGTGTTTATGAATCATATAAATATATTTTTTCCTGGTTTGTGGCTTGCCTATTCATTTTCTTAATGCTGCATTTTGATAGACATGTGTTCAATTTTGCTAAAAGTCAGTTTACCATTATTTTCTATTATGATTAATGTTCTTGGGGTCCTAACAAGTCGCCTTTGCATTCCCTAAGATCACAAAAATATTTATATTTTGTTCTGGAAGCTTTATGGTTTTGCTTTCTATATTTATGTCTTCGATCCATCTTGAATTAAGTTATGAGAATGGGGTAAGTTAAGAATTGTGGTTTTTTCTTTTAATTCTAATATGTAGTTTCAGCACCTGTTCACTTTTTTTCCCTCTAATGAATGACTTGGCACTTTGGTTAAAATGAATGTTTAGCTTTTGTTGTGAATATATAGTATACAATTTGATTACAATCTAATTAGAACTGTCTAATTTAAGTAGAATGTGCAAAGTAATCATAGTTTCTCCCCAATTTATATTTCACATTTGCATTTATTTTAGGAGAGATCAGAGTGGCCTTTGTTCTATATAACAACTTGGGTCCTTATTTGTCCACGGAGAATGCCAGCATGAAGTTGGGAACAGAAGCTATGTCCACCAATCATTCTGTTATCGTCAATTCCCCTGTTATTACAGCAGCAATTAACAAGGAATTCAGTAATAAAGTTTATTTGGCTGATCCTGTAGTGTTCACTGTTAAACATATTAAGGTAAGAAAATGGCATGTTAAGTTTAGTTGTCCACATTATCTATATTTGTTATAGCATGAACACAAAGTGTATTAATTTCTTTTATAATTTGAAATAAAGCAATTAAAAATCTATTATATGACAGTGGTATTTTTTTTTAAATGAAGGAGGAGAATGTTTCTGAATATGTAAATGCCTTATGACAAAAACATTTATAGATAGATTTATAAATGTCTCTCCATAATTAAAAAGAACTAGCAATATGTTCAGTAGAATTGGACATGGCTTCACATAGGATGTTACAAGTAAGTATATCTTTGTGTGTAGTTATACTTTTGTGTTATATTAAGATTGTATTGTAAATTGAACACAGATTTCTAAAGACCGTCCTTTTGGAAGTTCATTGTTTAAAGCAATTGACTTTTTTACTCTGTAAGATACTTTACTTTGAAGTTAATTGATATGATGCTGAGACATTGCTATTAGCATTACTTAAATATTAATTTTTGAAAAAGTAAACTCATCCTTAACCAGGGGGGAATAGGCAACAACAAATTTTCTTAGACTTGATGAGCCCTACTTAATAGGAAAATATTGGTAGACATCTTCTCAAGAATTGTAACAGAGTATGAAGCTGTTTTGATGTAAAAAAAAGTCTACCTAATTTATGTGATCATAAAGTAGTTATTGGTTTCATTGATTTTTTTCCCCTGTAGCAGTCCGAGGAAAATTTCAACCCAAACTGTTCATTTTGGAGCTATTCCAAGCGCACAATGACGGGTTATTGGTCAACTCAAGGCTGTCGGCTTCTGACAACAAATAAGACACATACTACATGCTCTTGTAACCACCTAACCAATTTTGCAGTACTGATGGCACATGTAGAAGTTAAGGTAAGATATATACCATGAAATAAAACTGCATATAATCAGGACAGTAACTGTAAATTGTCCTAACTCTTTGGGCCAGTCTTATGTCTCACTTTAGAGTTTTTCTATTTCCCATAGTATTTCTATTCAGGAACTTCCTAGTGTTCAACTCATATACTCCTAGGTGATTTGAAGTACCTTTATTTTTCCCTATTATCAACATCATTCATAAAATTAAAGTTTGCTTATAATACTTTGTTTAGTCTCTCCCCTGCTTTTATATTATCTGAATAAACATCAGACCTCATGAACAGGGCAAGAAAGGACCCCAGGACCAAAAGCCAGGATGGTAAAATTAGGAGCTGGGATCTGATATGTAGAAGACTAAGGAACTATGCGTGGGTATAAATTCTGTCAAAATGACTCTTGGGAAAGCAGCCATGAAGCACAAGGCAAAATGCATAGTAATGGAGAGAGCTTGGCAACTCTAATATAACATAATGGGTTTTGTCCATTCCGGAAGACACTACCCTAAGGAAAAATCCATATGGTAGTTTCCAAAGTCAGGAACATTGCTAACTTGGCAGCATTGGTCTTTTCCCAGCATGGCTCTGGCTATCATGGAGGGTGTGAAGAGGATTTAAATTTCAGTTATATTCAGGACATAAAAATACAAAGTGCTGATTAACTTGTGTATAGCGATTGATATATGAGTCATTAATAAGAAATTATACACTTATGAATTCTTCTCTCATCCCCCTGGTGTTGGTAAATATAGAGGAAGTATTAGTGCGTAACAAATTTATAAGAGGGAAAACTGTAGCAAAGGTTTATCTACCTGTTGTCATTGATCCAAATATTTCCATCCAAAATTTTCTTTGACACCGTTGAATTTAAAGATGGTACAAGTATCCCAGAGGGAGACCAAATGCAAGCCAAGTTACGCCTTAAGAGTAAATTGCCTTAGCTGTGTCAGCACAGTTCACATTTTGGTCTTTAAAGGACTACAAACACATTTGTCAGGGCATCGAAAATTGATCTAGCTTAGCAATTTGGCTGCACTAACAAATGTTAGATTTAAACTTGGAATATATTAGTATGGCTCCGGGATTCTATTTTTCAGCTTTGAGAATAAATTCTAACTCCGAAAAAAGAGACCACATTTGAAGCAACAACAAATATCATTTTGCTCTGTTCATTGCATAACAACATCTACCCAATCTATTATACAAGAATCTTGACTGTGACCATTATTGTGTGTCAACAAGAGAAATAATAAATGGAAATCAATATTTTCCTTTAGCAGTCAGTCACACAGTATGTATGTCTTAGATTTCCTGTATCACATACTCTTACGATTGCCTAAGTCGATCCCATTTTGATTTTACAGCATGATTTTGACACTTGAACAACAGGAAGCAAGCAGACTGATCATACCTAGAAGTCCAAAGAGTTAACACACTGACCAAATCTTCATTAGACTAATGTTTAAAACAGAACACTAATTTATTCATGCACAGTGAGAAATACAGCAGCTAGTTGGAACACTTATTCACATTTGTAGTTGTCACTTTCTAACTCTGCAGGTAAATTGGTAACAGAAACAAAATTATTTTCAAGAATTTGGTTGACAATCTTGGAAAAAGAGCAAGAACAGTTAGCTGAGTAGTCTTGAGCTATTGTTATTAAGCTGTGGTTCCCTGATGTGTGGGTCTTCACTCCAGGCTCTGCCTGTGTATGGAACTGCCCTTATCTATCATCTGTGTGATCTCTGCTGTTCCTTCAGCACTTCCTTCATTCTTTATTACCATTTTCTGAATACCTGAGTTAGAGGTATTGACAAGTTGCCTGCTGCCTAGTAAGTTCTCAATAAACATAACTTCCTTCTCTAATCTGCAAGAGATATTTCTAGATTCCACATTACAGTGAAGCTTCTGGTCCTCCAGGAACTCATATTTGAAGGGAAGGCAAAGGCCAAAGTGAAAGTGCATTTATAACTCTGATAAGTATTATTATTGAGGTTAACACTGTGATGTAGGAACACAGAAGAGGATCATCTAACAAAGGCGGGACTTCGCTAAGAGCTTTTCAAAAAGTACCCAGCTCTGAAGGGTGGGTTGGATGTATTTAGTCAGGTAACTTGTGGATAATTTGTGTTTACCACATTCTTGTAACTTTTCTTCACTTTGCCTTGGGTTCATCATTCTCTCTTCTTTCCCTCGTCAGGAACTCATCCTTCTTGGCTTCTTTTGCTGGCTCCTCTTCATCTCCATGACCTCTTGTAATTGCTCTGGTCCAGAGTGTTATTCTAGATGTAGTCTAGGCCCTATAAGTTCTTTCTCCGTAGGTGATCTCACGTAGTCATATGGCTCTAAACAGCATCTCAGATTCCAGGTGTCTGTCTCCATTTCTTAACTACAGACTCAGAGATTCAACTGCTGACTTTACATGTCTACCTAGACTTCTAGCAAGTCCACAATTCTAGAACTACACTGTTGTTATTCTCTCATCTGAGTTCTTTTCATCTTAGTAATGTCCGTCTCGATGACCTGCCCCAAAACTAAATCTTTGATTGGTTTGTTTTGTATTTTTCCATCCATCCTCTCACCCATCCCTGTAAGTGTTTCCTGCCAGGTTCAGCATCTGACAACTTCTCAGCACCTTCATCACTACCACCTAGATTCAGGCCACTATCATCTCTCCTCTGATTTGTAGCCACAGCCCCTTAATTGATCTCCCTTCATTCCTCTTTGTCCCCTTAAGTTTATTCTCAGCATAATGCCCAAAAAGATACTCTTAAAATGTGAGTCAGACTGTATCACTCCTCTGATTCATTCTCAAAAAGCAGTTCTGTAACCCCTTTATAATGCAAATTAGGTAGTTCATACTTTGATCCAATCTGAAGGACTCCTTATCTCAATAAGAGCAAAATTCCAAACCCTGGCTGCATTACCGTCTCTTGACCTCCTTTCCTACTCCTCTTCCCCTTGCTCACTTGGCTTCAAACAAACCCGTCTCATTGACTTTCCACAAAAACATTGCAGTTAAGAGTCATCTCGGTCAAGTCTTTGCTCCTGTGTCACCTTCTCAAAGATGCTTTCCTTTCCCATTCTTTTTAAAATTTCATATTACCACATCCCCACAAAATATTGTGGGGAGTAAAGCTAACCATGCCCCAGCCTCAGTGAACGTATAGTTTATCAAGGCAGAAAAGGGTTGACACTGATTTTTGAATGTGGTGCTGAGAGAGATTTTACAGCTAGATCAGTTCAGGCAGGTATGAGAAGGAGGGTGATGCTTGTCTCCCAAGGTGGCAACACAACCTATTTAATCACTTCTCAGTTGCCTCTTCTTCTGTTGTTTAAGGAAACACATGATTGTCTTTTCTTGGAGACAGAAAAATAGTCATTACATATATTTAGGTAATGTGATTCTATACTAAACTCAGATAGTATTTATGATATTTTAAAACATTTCCATTATTGGGAATCATGTACAGGGTTTGGGTTTTTTTTTTTTTGTTTTTCAGCAGAATGGTATACACACTAAATTGAAATGAGTATCTCTTCTCTTACTAGTAATTTTTTTTGGTGAACACCATTTGTAGGAGGAGTATTTTAGTTTATAGGAGCATAAATTTCAAATTGACTAATTAACATTTCTACTATGGTTTTGTAGAACTTTAGAAATAAGTTCTTTAGAAAGGATCTAACGATTCATATCACCTCTTTCCTCTACTGAAATTATAATTCTTTGGGAGATAATAAAATAAAAAGCCTCTCTAATCTTTTCTGTCAGTTTAACTTGATGTTAATTTTTTAACCTTTAATAGGCTTCACTTCCTCTAGTTTGATGCTTATACTCCTCTCTCTCTCTTTCTTTAGCTTAGTATATCTTATTGCCCCCACCCTAACTTCATGCCTGTCCAAGAGTAGACATTGATCTTGCTATTTAAAGTTACTGTATTTCTTTCCTAATTTAGTATTAATTCAAAACAATGACAATTTGGAAAATTTTAAATTCGTACCATGGATTAAGTGTGCCAGAAATTTTATAGACAGACTTTTTCTAAGCTAGAATAAAACATGAGGTAGTTTTACAGTGCAAGGTTTTGAAGATTCACATGAAAGTACTTATTTTTCAAAAGGAAATGTCTTTATTCCTGAAAGTCCAAAAGGAAATATTACTTTAAGCTTAGGAAGTGATTTCATTAGTAAAAAATAAAATGTCTATTGTATGATGCTAAAGGTTGTACATTTCCATTCCAAAATACTTATGTTACTTTTATGTTTTGCCATTTATATGTGATGGAATTAAGGGGGAATTAGAGATTAAAAATCATAACATATATAGTACTTTAAACAGTATATTTATTTAGGGACAAAATTAGATAACTGATGATTTGATTACCCTCCAAATATGGAATTATTTCATAAAAACAAAATAGTTTCAAAAAATGTAATATTTTGCTATATTAAGTATCTTGAATAACTTTATATTAAATAACGATAGCTTTTTTTGAACCAAGAATTATTCTTGAATTTTCTCATTGAATAGTTTTATAAGGATATATGTCCTTCATAGATTTATTTAAATTTGATGTTCTTTATTTACTAGTATGAAATTTTATTGTCCACCTGCTCCGCTATACTCTAAGCTCAGTGTTAAAAACAGAGAGATGTGAGAGAATCAGCAATGAAGATCATCTGGGGAAAGATTCTTCCAGGAAAATGGAACAAAAGCAAAACCCTTAACTAGGGGTGAGCCTGATGGGTTGGAGGAATTGCATGGGGAGAAAAGTGGTATTAGAATGGAAACAGTTAGAGAGAAAGTATGTTAGCAGAAAAAGCCAGAGGGTCTAGGACAAAAGACTTTGTAGGTGATCTGAAGGACTTTGGGTGTGGGTTTTACTTCAGTGCAGAGTTCTGAGCAGAGGAACCGCATGATCTGTCATATACACATGTAATATATTTAATGTTTTACATCTACCAATTTGATATACGTCTGCTAAGAAGGAGATCTAC